CCAAGAAGAAGAAGATGGATGGATGGATGGAGGGAGGGGGGGAGCGATGGCTAGATGGGAGGGAGGGAGGGATTGGAGGATGACGAGATGGGATGGATGGAGGGAGGGAGGGATGATGGAGGATGGAGAATGGCGAGATGGGATGGAGGGAGTGATGGATGGATAGGAGGATGGAGAAAGGCAGGGAGGGAGTAGGAAGGAGGGGAGGAAGAAGAGGAGAGAAGAAGACGTAGCGAAGGAGCAGCAGCAGCACCAGCAGCAGCAGCAGAAGAAGAAGAAGAGGGTGAGGAGGGGAAGAAGAAGAAGATTAAAAAAGTTCGAGGAGAAAGATGAAAATGTGAAGGGGAGGTGGGGTAGGAGAGGATGACGAGGAGAGAAGAAGGAGAAGAAGAAGATGAGCGGAGGAGGGGGAGGAGGACAAAATTCGCGGGATGAGCGTTTTCATCTTCCTCCATAACCTTTCTTCTTCTTCTTTGTCTTCCTCTTCTCCGCCACTCGTTTTCTTTCTCCTTTTCTTCTTCTTCTTCTTCTTCTTCGTCGTCATCGTCGACATTCAGTAGGTCACGCGATACACGATAGGTTATACATATAAAAAGAAAGAAGGCCCAAACTCACAGGGAGGGCAATTTCCAGGAGGCTGTTAGAGCGGTGGTCTAAAAGGAGCGGGGACCCTCCCCGCGGCTGACATTGGGGAAAGCTAGTGGTGGTTTAAATGCAAGCGCTCAACTTTCAACCCCTGTTTTTGTATTGACAATGCTTGTGTGTAGGTCTGTTTAATGGTCCGGAAGAAATGTACAAATATTTATGGTTGTTGCGAGACATGCGCTTCCGGACTGTCTCATCTAAGGGGGGTTGCTTGATTGGGGTTTGCATGATTCCTTGATTGTGGAATTCTTGCCCATGCTATGTCTTGGATCAATAATCATTTTGCTTGTACGCGTCTGTGTGTGTGTATCTTTCTGGCATTGTTTTTGTCAAACATGCACGCGTTCGGCTTTTCAGACTTGCATATCGATAGAGGACAGGTCAGGAGATGCAGCTGGTGATGGTTTAGTTGCTGAATGCGACATGCGGACAGGTGGTAGTCAAAATGGCACAGTGGAACCAGCAAACGAGGACAGTAACGTTGCAATTGACACAGCTGCAGTGAGATCTTGTGTTGCAACGGCACGTGTAAGGATTCTTAATGGCCATGATCAAGCGAAACCAACAGCTGTGGAAGCGGACCCGAACACGCGCCGAGAGTGTGGCTGGAATGACTTAATGCCACCCAGCGAATATCTGGTGTGCCATAATGGCAACTGTGTTTCTGTAGGAAAGCCGCAACAAGGCAGCCCACCAAATGGAGCCAATAATACCCCTGTGCAATCGACAAATTTCAAAAAGCCAACAAAAGGCAAGAGAACACATTTGATGATGGGTAAGTCCATTGCTATCCAGCAGGCCAAGGCTTCTCTTCGTTTGCGCGATCTGGGGTTGCAGGCTGAAGCGAGGAAGGACTGTGCAGTTCCTCCCTCATCCAGCGAGAATGGTAATCGTCATGAGCATGAGGCCTCTTCATCCGATTGCGAGATTGAGCATGATCGGATGACTAGCCAAATTTGTCCAGGCACTGGGCGGAATGGTATTCGTAAGAAACGTCGAATGGTCACCAATCAAAAGCTTGTTCCTCCTGCACTTGATGGGAACCATTCTTTGGATCTCTGTAGAAACCGTGAGAAGCAATCAGACTCAGCAAAGCTTAATGGGAAGGTAGAGCCTGAAATATGCAGGAGGCCCAAGAGAGAGAGGAGTGCTCCCTATTGGCTGGCTCAGTTTCATCATGTAGAGGTGCCAGGTGCTGTAACGCCGGCCTTCCCGAAGGATGAGGTGAAAAAGACCCCATCAACATCACACATCGCTCCTGTTATCACCCGTCCGAGAAATGGGAGTGGATCAGACAAGGTTTGTTCAATTGTTGGTAGCTGGAAGCAGGGCATGACTGCCAAGCAAGCATCAAGAAAGGGACGTTTTGACACGGATGAGAAGGTCGGTGCAGAGCTTGCAAACGAACATGAGGACTGCAGAATTGGTGGTAAAACCACTGTGGATATGAGCCGAAGTCCATTGCAACCAGTGGAGACGATGCAGAGGAATGGCCAACTGGAAGGGGGTTCCACCTCATCAGAGGAAAAGGACAAGCAGATGGAAAAGGAGAAGGAGAGAGGTGTAAAACATCCATCAAAAGCTGATGGAAAAGACAAACCAGATGGGGGCTCAAGGGAGGGCATCGGGCCAAAAGCGGGGAAGACATCAAGGCAGAAGAAAGGAGGGAATGGAAAACCGGCGGGTCCGGGACTCTCTGTTGCTTGTCCTCGTCGAGAAACTAGCCCAGTTGGACATGAAAATGAGGATAGCCCAAAGGCGGTGTGTCTCGCAAGGGTGACGAGTTCCTGCGAGTTTGCTGAGGCACAGCTAAACTCACAGTCCCCATCATCTTCGATGTCACCTGTGCATGTGAAGGAATGGGAAAGGCTGGCGGACTGGGAGCAGCTGCCTTCTCCAGCTGTGTCGCCAAGAGCAGCTCGATTGATTATGTCCCCCTTCTCACTGTCGGGGAGATCTCCCTCCCCAACGCGAACAAGATCCAGATCTGTGTCAAGATCCCGATCGAGGTCAAGTTCTCCATCCCCGTCCTTGCTGCCATCGTTGGCCGCTGCAGTCCTGACAACACAGACGCATGGTCGGGGAAGAACCTCCCAGCCGCTCTATGCTGTGAAACACCTTCATTCTAAAATGAAACAGGAAATGGAGGCGAAGGCAAAGGCCAGGCTGGCAAAGGCGAATCCTAGAGGGTGCCCAGTTCAAATGGCAGCTCTGACGCCAGATGATCCCATGCTCACGACTGTTGATTCACAACAGGAAGTGGTTGATAACCCTACGGAGGAGGTGGCGATGGTCCACGATCATTATCCTGATGTGCAGCCAACCACTTTGCCAATCCCAGCATTTCGTCCAGTGCTCAGGCAGAAGCAGACACCCAGAGGGGGTAAAGGTACCGACAGGTTGAAAGTACATGACGAAGCCCGGCCTGCAGTTGCTGCTTCTCCTACTGTCAGAGTGGTCCAGCAAGTGGAAGAGCAGGACCCAACAGTCTTGCACTTGTTTCCTACAGTGCAGGAAATGCAGCGGCAGAACATGAATGGTGGGGATGCCATGCGGGCACAGCTGATGGGTGGCCAGGCGAGTGCAGGTGTGGAGAATGTTGAAGTAGAGGAGGAGGAGAGATCGGGCTTGGAGGTTTGTTCTGATACTTGCAGCCGGGATGCACTCGGGTCATGGGAACGGGTAGGCTTGTATGGTCAGACGAAGGAGGGAACACCAAACATCGAGACCAAAGAAATGGAAGGACGGATACAACAAGCAGAGCATGATGACCGGGACGAGTGTGATGACCAAGGAAATGATAAGGTAAGGCCTGCTGATGAGTCTAGGGCCAATGTGAGAAGACTAAGATATGCAACATTCAAGGGATGCATGTGCTGCGAGTACGCCTATTGGGACAAGCGAAAGTGTCGGCGAATAGCAGGTAAGGATAATAGGCCCTAGCTGAAAGGCCCAGCTAAGGTTGAAAGGGCTTAGCCAAAAGACCCAGCCTTCTGTAATAGATGTTCAATTGTCGAGTTTACAGTTGAAGCACAGTGTCATGAGCTGCATGCAAGGCAGGAATGGATGTATTCAACGCACCTGGTCTGGTTTGTTGTCCATGAGATTTCGAGTTTTTGCATGAGCACTGGAGCATGCTGACGCAGCCGTCTTGGTGCTCCTGAGGGAGGCTCAGCAAGAGGGAGAGAGATATAGAGGGGCAATAGCACTAGCCGGTTCTACAGGGGAGATGCAAGTCCACTGCTTGTGGACCTGGTGCCATGTGCAAGGCCAGATGTTTGAGGAAGATTGGGATGTGAAGGATGCTTCTACATGAAACGAACTGCAGGTTCATGAGGTTTAGGTTTGCAGGCTTAGTATTGACTGCAGATTGAAGGCGCCTTGCTTTGCGGGATGCACAGGATGGTGTCTGTGCCGCCTTTTCAGGGCTGGAACGAACACAAGACGGAAGATTGACACGTTGCTGCGCTCCAAGTGCTTTTTACGGTACCTGTTTGTGCATTGGGTGGTGGATCGGTATTCAGCACCGAAAACAGCTCATTGCTGAGAAGGCTGACCTTCCATAATTTTCAGCAAGATTGGTGTCAAACAGAGCACTGGATAGCGCATCACTGTACTCGGGAATTGTGGTGAAGGCGTGGAGGTGGGTGGTAGGCGGCGGCATCATCCATCCTGCATTCTAGTGTAGCCTCAAAGATTGTCTCTTGCTATGATGGCATGCGCAACTAGGATTGCTTGCATGTGGAGGATCGTTCATTGGAACTCGGGGGCACGCCTGGGTATCTATCACTCAGTTGATTCTGCCCCTTGATGGTTGTTTGCATCAGTTGTGTTGCCGGTCTGCCTCCTGCCTAGGTTGTGAGCCCCAGAGGCCTGCATCTACGAAATGCATGGCACAGTAATTGCGGTGAGGAAGTCGTACCTCTTTTCATGAAAAGCGAGTTGAGTATTGTGCTTGATCCTTGTAAAGAGCATGGCTGAATGGTAAGGTGAATGGCCCGGTCATCCGTCGGCTCAACAGATGTGAATACATGTTTAGCTCTATTAATTTGAATCATTTGTAGGTGTAGTCTTATGTCTTGGATCCGCAGTCGGCACGTCTGCGGATATGTAGCTGGTCAGTGTGCCCCTCAACTTGTGCAATCTCTGTGAATACATGCGCTTCATTTGTTTGACCAGCTCTCCAATGTCAAAGTCGTACGGCTGCCAGGTGGTGTGTCTGATGCATCAATGGTATACGACCACGTTCAATACACTGACGGCTGTCATTGCATAATACATGTACGTCCTGGCGACAAAACCTTGAACCCTTGGAGGGCTGAGTTTTGGGGAAATCAGCAACCAACAAGGTTGCCTTGTCGGAAGGATTCCATGGTTTCGAGTATCGTGCAGCTCATGATTTTTGAAGGGGAATCGGTCGCTGAGGGGGGAAACTTTCCCCTGAATGTGAAACCTTAGAAGACAGCATTTCGTGTAACAAGAGGTTAGGACGAAGGTGGGTGTATGATGTGAAGGAAGCAAGATTGCTGTTCACTATCCTGTCTCACTAGGATGGTCCGCATCCGTGCGGCTGCTCATGGGAGGATTGGCAGCCAACAAATCTGTCAAGTGTGTCATTTTTTAACGTCAGAATTACAAGAGTCATTCTTGAATATGATGACAGCCTGGCGAGTCTTCTCACCCTTCACACTGTCTCAGCTGTATGAGCCTCCACAGCAACTGCCTTCCTGATTTGCTTCCTCTCAAGCTGTTCACTCCGTTCCCAAAGCAGATTGTACCTCATCTCTTCTATTCTCTACCTTCTATTTGTTAGTTTCATAGTGGAGGCGCTTGCGCTTTGTACTTGTCGGCATGCTTGATGTGACGTGGTGCATGCTAAAGGTGTGTTCGTGGCGCAAACTTTACCCCCTTTTGTATGCTGGCACGTGCTCCTGCACGTGAATATCGCGAAGGGTTTGCTTTCGTTTACTCATATGTGTATGGGTTAGCTCTGGTTTTGCTTCCAACAGGCCCAGAGGCGAGTTGAACAAAAGGATGAAGAGGAGGAATAATTCACAGCCTGCGAGATAGGGCACAACCTCGGAACGTGGTTATGTAACATAAACGAAAAGGTGTTGCACTCGAGTTTTCACCGACTCCACTAGCGTGCTTCTGGCTTTGTGCAAGATCTGTTGAGGGTGGCGATTGCTTGGGAATGCCGGAGGTAAGCCATCGTGCTCCTTTCTATTGTGCATTCCATCTTTTGCCTGGTGTAAGAGTTACTTTCTTCATGACATCGATGACTATGAGAAGGTTTATTCACGCCCATAATCTGTTTTCTTTTTTTTCAAGTTGGCTGTACAGTCTTAAGAGCTGCAAGCACTTGCGGTCGTGGAGTGAGGCGACATGCTTCCAATGTGGGTGTGTGCAAGGCAAGGTGACTTTGCTCTTGCCTCTGCACGTCCTCTCCCAACTGGAGTGCGCCGGCCGCACTGGCAGGAGGAGGTTATTTCAGGTAAGAAAATTTCCCGCAATCCGTCTCCCAGCTCCCATTTTGATTCTGGTGAGAATCTTAGAGCACAACTCTTCCTCCACGTACATTGTCGAATCTCTCTTTTGCCTGAACCTGGTGCTGCAAAACCTCACCGCTGTCCCTCCACGTGCATTGTCGAACCTTTCCTCAACGTATGTTGATGAACCTTTCTTTTGCCTGACCCTTGTATTGCCGAACCTTCGATAGCAGCAAGGTAGCCTGCCTTGTGCATGGCGTCTGTACAGCTATTGCAGCCAACTCCAGGTCATGTATAGCTGTCGCGGTCATCACTACTGCAGTAGAGGACGGGTGCGGTCGGGTATTCGTGTCTTGCAAAAGGGCATGAAGGTGTCACAGTACGGCAACCTGCCAACCTGGGATCATCAGTTGGGACATACGCTGGCCTTGATGTGCGGCGCTGGCGTGCATTGATTTCAGTGGCTGCATGGCCTTTCTTGGTGTGGTCCACGAAACATTGCCAATGTCACATGTGCGTGCACCAGTGTTTTCGTTTTTGGGACGGTGCGGGTGCGTCCGTGTTTTCCATTCTTGGGATGGCACACGTGTGCCAGTCTTTTTTGTTTTTGTTGAATGCTGTGAACCCGTCCGTTGTTTGTCTTGGGCTGTTGACAAATTGATTTACCGCTAGATTTGGGACAGGACGGTAGCCTTGACTCAATTTCTCAGGGTACGTTGTATTCAAATACAACATACCGTACACCAGTGTTATCAGCCCGAGTGTTTGGGGGGAAGTGTTGGGGCCCCCGCTCCCCCGAACGTTCAGGGGCGTTCAGGGGTTGTGGTCGGGGTTCGGGCCCCGCCCAACCAGAGGTTCGGGGCCGCCAAACCTCGTATCGCCCTAAATGTTTTTATTTTTTTTTAGATAAAGCACGACCTCATGCATGTACCTCTAAATTTTCGTAGTATTCTGTTGAACCGAAAAAAAAAAAAAAAAAAATGTTGAGGCTAGGGGGGTTGAAAATTTTGCAACCCCCGCCTTTTGATTTATTAGTTGATTGATTGATTGATTCATTTATTGGTTGGGGTAGGGTCGCCCCCCACTCCCCCCCAAACAATCAATCAATCATAGAATGTCATGTTCCATTTTTTTTCTTCTACTTTTTTATGTATTGATTGATTGGTTGGTTGGTTGTGGGAGGTCTCCCCCCCCTCGCCCACCCGTGCAAACACACACACACACAGAGCATGGGCTGCGTGGATGTTTACGGCTGGCCACGAGTTCTCTCTGGGGGGAATGTATATTTTGTGGGCCGGTGTGGAAAGCTTTCCCAGTTTTTTTGGACCCTTAGCAGGAAGGGTCGGAGCATTCTTGCTGGAGGAGTCTTCCATCTTAGGTAAGTTGTCTCTTATCTTCTTCCTCCTCTTCGGCAGTGCCGCGAGTGTGTAGTTTGAGATGAATGTCGGGAATGCCAATGCTGTTATATTTGATTGTTTTTGGTAAACGAGTTTTTGGTTTTGTGCGCCGATGCCGAAGGCTCGACAAGTTTTTTTTGCTGGACCCTTGAGGGGGTGGGGTCAGTGCCTTCCTGCTGGAGTAGTCTTCCTCTTAGGTAAGTTGCCTGCTGCCCGCCATCCCCTCGTGATTTGAAATATATATGTATACATGTATATGTGCAAGTGTGCCGCTTTGGCGGCAGACAGGTGTGTGGGCACTTGGCGCTGAACCACACAAATGTGGCCAACCTTGCATTTTCTGTTATATTGTCATATCTGTACTTTTTCGTTATGGATTGCTTGTGATGATTTGTGAAGGGAATGAGAGAGAGAATCTGGGGTCTTTTAATACGACACACACGTTGGTTTGGTTGATTGGTTGGGTGGTTGGTTGGTTGGTTGGTTGGGGTATTTTAAACGTACACTATTATATTAAGTTTTTTGTTTTGATTGATTGATTGGTTGGTGGGTGGGTGGGTTGGTGGGTTGGTGAGTTGGTTGGGGGTCGGCCGCCCCCTGGCTCGCACACATACACACACACACCACTGATGGGGGCCCCGGCAATCGTTCGGCGGGCGACGATTTCACCCACACAAGTTTTTTCTTCTTCTTAATCTAAATATACATGTGTATAGAGGATGAGCTCTGTAATGCATTCCAACCCCCCCCCAAAAAAGCACTCCAAAAATGAAAACTAAAAAATAAAGAAAGTTCGGCCAAACGCCGCCAAGGGGGGGCCTGAACGTTCTGCCGTTGGAGCCCTCTTGTTGGGCCCTGGCCGGACACGGGTAACCCTGCCGTACGATATATTTGTTACATGCTGAGTCTGCACTTGGACACCATTTCGGGGTCCCGACGGTTGCTGGGGGCCCCCAGGTCGCACAACATTCAGGCATGTGCCCTGGAGACCCATGGCCGACCTTAGGGCTGCAGGATTTGATTTGTGGCAGCATTTATTTATTTATTTATTTGTTGTCTTATTTTTGTCTGTTCAGGTGTCATTTCGGAGTTGCAGTTTGTCCGAACAGATTTCCGGTCTGTTCGGACAAAGGCGACGTTTTGGGCCTTCTTCGTTCGCAGTTGGGCCCTTTCGGGCCAGGTTCGTGTTCGTCCAGTAGTGGACACTTCCTGCTGCATCAGCAGGGAGGGCCTGGGCGTCCTGTAGGGACCCAGGCAGGCCGTTTCAGGCCAGGACCAGAGGCACACCAGTGAGGCGCAGCGCTACTAATAGCTGGGCCGGGCCAGGGGAGACGCACAGCTCGGGTAGCTCACTTCTTGGGCGACACGCTGCTGGAGCAGCGTGACGCGGCGCTCCGCTAGAGGTAGAGTAGGTAGAGAGAGAGGGAGAGAGAGGCGGTGGCCATACCTGCAGCAGCGGTACTTATCTGGGCGCCATAGCTGGAGTCCATGCCAGCGACCTGCATCAGAGGCACACAGGCAGCTCATACATGGCGGCAGTTACCTGCAGGCGAGACAGGGAGGAGGGCGGCATCTTCTTCTTCCTGCTGTTCTCGCCCTCCATCTCCATCTCTTCACTTCTTCTTTTTCTCCTCCTACTCCTCCTTTCAGAGAGAGAGAGGGAGAGAGAGAGTTTACAGGCAGAGGTTACATCGGGCTACGAGGCCCAAGATATGATTTGACATTTTTGTGGCAGAGTCAGGCAGACATTGATTGGACATTCGGCGGGGAGACTATTTTTGGACTTCGCTATCATTATCTTGGTCTTCTCCCTCCTCACCGTCTTCGTCTTGCCTCTCCCCCCCATCTCCTCATCCGTCGTATCTCCCCATGTGCGTGCTCAAGGAGGGACCTTTCTTCTATGTATGCGGTCCCTCCTCACACTCTCACATGTGTGGTGTATGATGGGGTGTCGCGTCAGTATCTGACAGGTCAGGTCTTATCTTCGAGTCTTCCGTTGCTCTACGTTGTGCTATTTTCATATGTATCTGGATGTACATCGCTTGTTGATGCTTTGCTGACGCTGCCTTGTCGATTCCCGTCCTTTTCAGCATTGTGCGGATCCTTGGCTCCATGGATGGATACATTGAAAAGAAATCCCGGTTTGAGTATGGACTAAGGTGCTGTCAGATGCAAATGTGGCCACAAGACAGAGAGACAGACACAGAGAGAGAGAGAGAGAGAGAGAGAGAGAGAGAGAATAGGTTAGTCTCCAAGAGAGAGAGAGAGAGAGAGAGAGAA